CGCATAAGCCTCTGATGATCCGAGATGAAAAATGTTTGTTTTCGCGCGCTTCAGCCGGACAGTGAAAGTAGAGGTTTCTCAATACTCAAATTTCCCCTCCTCGACTCCTCGACTCCTCGGTCCTCCGGTAGTGACCCGGAAATTAATTTCAGCGCGCCATTTTGAAGGACATCTCATTTGTCTAAATGCACTTCGAGGACCGAGCATCGAGCGTCGAGGAGGCTCTCTGGAGGAGCTCTAACCGAGGAGACACTGATGGGTCCTCCACNCTAAGACATTTAGCACGAACATTGGTATTTATGTTTATAATATAAGAAATCGTCGAGAACACCCCGGTGGGTCCTTTCATTCAGTGCCCGCCGGGCCTAAACCGGGGGCCGGGAACTCAACTGTGGGGACGGACATCTACTAGTTTTGAGTACTGGGTTTTTTCAAATCGCTTATTTTTCTTCTCTGGAGGAGTCAATCGGAGCGACCGTTGTATTGTCGAGTATTACATTTTCTCAGTTTTCGTAAGTCACAGTTAAAACAGGTAGACGTTTCTACGTGAAGTACAAAGTAAAGTAAGTAAATTCATAACCACCATACCACTAACGTGAAGTCTATGTGAAAACAATATAAGGTACCTTACGAGAATTGGTAGGGCTATCGTTACTTATATAATTTACGAACTGTTTATTTATTGATTTTGTAAAAGTAGCGACTTCGTGCATCGCGACCATTTTTCGTGCTGGTTAAGTAGACTCGCCGCGGCGATTTTATCGACCTACAGCCGATGGACGACAGTCGGAAAGTAGACACGTGTTTGAGAATAGAGCACGGGAGGTAACAAGTACCGCGCAAGCGACAACACAACTCCTATGGCCGAGACATTCCTTTAACGTCTAGTAAAAAAAAGCAACACATAAAGTTTTAAGATCGCGTAGCTCCGACCAAAGTAGGTAAGAATGGATGGGGTGGTAAATATACAGCATTTTCTTCGAATCCTACATCATATTAAGTTTGCACTGTGCAGAAAAATCAATATCTCCCTATACTAGACTTATGGTTCAAAGGTATGACATAAGAGTGTATAACAGAAAGATTATAGAGGAACAGTCATAAACAAGTAAATACATTTTTCTCTTCTTTTTAATTTCAATTTAGTTTAGAGGTTAATTTCTCAATTTTTGACTAATGGTAAAACGGCTTTCGAGGTCTACGAAAGAACTGCAGTAAAGTGCGTCTACGTCTAATTTATACAGTACCTGCCCGCCGCAAGAACTGTAAACGCACCGGGACCTTTGGTATCAGTGTTCAAAATCCTACTCTTTCACTGTCGTTCAATTGAAGATAGTGATTCTGTAGAGTCGAGGTGCAGGCAGGTGTCGAGAGCCCGTCCTCGTGGGAACTTGTACTACGACTAAAGTATCCCCTATTGGTTCTCCGCCACTCTAAACCGGAGCTGAGCATCGGGTTTGGGTGTTTCCGGAGTGACTGGTACCCTATATGATTGTGTGACGTTTTGCTGTGTTCGGATCCAAGTATATACGCCTATAAAATTGACGTACACATTCGTTTTCAATACGGCCCGTCAAAAGTGATGACTACGAGACACCCTTTCACATAAGATTGCTTGACATATACCTCTACATTACACACTACTACCGGCCCCTACCCACTGTTCCTTCTCTCCTCGTCTTATACTTTCAGTTCTTCTGATCATCGCGTTTTGTTCATGTTTTGTTTCAGAAAACTCATCTCGGGACGCTACGACCCGACCCCGACCTTCACATATTCACCGACGCAACAAACACTATAGTAACACACACACACGACACACACACACAACACACACACACACACACACACACACACACACACACACCACACACACACACTAAACTACATGTCCCACAATGCATCTCAAATTTGACTTTGACTCTTTTTTCAAAATATATATTTTTTTTCAAAATGTCACTTCTTTTTTTTGATTTTGACTTTTTTTTCAGAATTTGGCTTTTCTTTTTAAATCATTTTGTGACATGCGCACTGAAGAGACTTGCGATTTTTTGCCCTAGATTTCTGATTTCAGACATAGTTCGTTATGAAGTTATTACCCTATTCTAATAATCCAATGCAGAGGCAATAATGTAATATAATACATTATTATATATATATTAAATATTTAGAAATGTATTTTTATATAGTCTTAAAGTTACAACCGGCTCTTTGAGTGCAACCATAATGCGGCCCGTGATGAAGTTGAGTTTGACACCCCTGATCTAAAGCGATGTTCAAAGCACAGCTAGTTTCATATGCTGTCCAGGTTGTTCTGTACATCGCTTTTTTTTAAAAGCATATTTCTGATTTCTGATAATGGGCTGAATAGATGAAGTTGATTTCACTTGACTGGAGGTAGAACATTTGGACACTGATGGAGGATTCTGGAGAGTGAGGGATAACTGAGATAGTCTTAAAGCCTGGCAGTAGCAAGACGAGGGGAGTTTGGAAAGGAATATGAGGAGCATGGACACCTACCTCTTTGAAAGGAAAGAAGCCAGTTGATGCAGCATACAGTAGGCATGAGATCAAGATGCCTCCCTGTGGAAGTACTCCAGCTGGGCACCAGTGCATATCTAGAACATGTTTGAGGGATTATATGTTCCGCTGTATCGTCATTTGTAGAACTTAAACTCACCAAGTTAATAAAGAAGAGATTATGTGCCAATACAAAGCAAATTAAGCCAATAATGGACTGTCAGCAATCTTAATAAAGTAGTCGGTGAAAAGGATAAGTTACAAGTAGATGGAGCTAGAAAAGAAGACAACGTTTTCTGTGTTTTAGGCTGCATTCTCCTCTCTGTGACCCTGAAATCAGAAGATGGATGCTGAGAGGCGGAGAAATCAAAAGCTCCAGACCAACCGCTGTGACTCTATATCCAAAGTTCCCCAAACTCTATTAAACATGTCACGCTGCTGCTGCTCTCTCTCCACCTAAACCTAGTTCTGTCTCTATTTTTTTCCTCCCCTCTGTTGTACATCGTGATAGCAAGGTCTGGAAAGGCGGTGAACAGAACAGTGTGTGTGTGTGTGTGTGTGTGTGTGAGGGCGGAGAAGTGTAAATGAGGAAGGTGAGGCAGCAGATGCCGCGTCCCGCCAGAGGCTCGCTTTGAGCAGCGAGTGAAATCTGGGCGCGACAAAACTGCTGCAAACCAACTCGGCGGGAGGCCCTTGTCCAATCACGGCCCGGAATAAAAGGGCCAGGGCGCCACACGGGCTGCAGTCGCTCAGAGAGGTGGGGGCCATAATGAACCTTCAAGCACTGCCAGCGAACCCACACACACACACACACACACACACACACACACACACACACACACACACACACACACACACACACACACACACACACACACATGTATACGCACACTTATACACATTCCAGCCCCAGCCCAGCAGAGGGCTTTACTAAGTTTGTTTTGTTTGTTTGCTCCTGTCTTTCTTGACTTTCTTTCTGCTCCTCTTTCCCTTGTCTCCATCCGGCTCTATTTCTCTTGTGTTGTGATCACATTTCCCAAAGGCCTTAGTGAAAACTGCCCGGCATAACTTTGCTTCAACACATGCCAGGTATGCATATATGAATAGATGTGTGTGTTTGCATGTGTTAGTATATCCATGGTCAGTTGAGGCCTTTGTGGTTTGGACGAGTCGAGGCCACAAATCTTCCACCAGTTTGGTTATCCCTATGAAATCAAGCATCCATGTTCATGAGGGTGCTTGCCGAGAGCTGTGGACGGACGTGGAGCTGAGATGTCTTCAGTGAAGAAGTTAACTTGCTGTCACTTTCTCACCTAAAACTTGTGACTATGGTTTCCAGGGCCAGAAAATGTCCAAACAGGACCGTCATAATATTTAATCTGCATCTGCGTGAAATGAGATCAAGAAAGAATCTGAGCTTTCGGCCAAAAATGTAAAACATTTTTAACTCTTTAATTGAGATTTGATTTAACTTTGATTTTTCTTCTCTTTTTACAAAATGAACCAAAATACTGACAAGGAAGATATTAGAAAGACAATATGGAGAATACATATGGAACTTGTATTCAAATCATACTCTCTAAACTAAAAAGACTTCACGTTTGAATTATACTACCAATTCTAAGCTTCTTTACAGACATTAAAGGTAGGGTAGGTAAGAATGGAGAAACCAGCTCGAGTGCGCTAGAATTTGAAAATACACAACCGAAAAAAATCTGCCACTTCCTTGCAGAGCCCCTCCTCCAACACACACGAACGCGCACATGACCAATGAGGGCACGAGATAAGTTTGTGCACAGATGGAAGGCTGACAGGCAGGTAGGCCATCCAGTTATTTTAGCCGGGCCGGCTCAGATGATTGGTCGTGCTTTTTACAGCGCTACGGCTTCCAGAGATGAAAATGTTTTAATGTATTTATTGTCAAAGCATTTAATATATTCATTGCTATCGGGATGTTAAGAGCATTCCATGGAATATAACAAAAGTGTTTCTGAAGTGAATTACCTACCCCATCTTTAAATGAATGAAATGAAACCATGAAGTGCATCTTTGAATGGAAAAATGACACTGAATGCTTTTGACTCTTTCCATTATGAGTGTTATTTGCAAGGAGGATAACTGAGGAGGTCTCTTCTTTTTATTCGCTAAACTTTTTTGGGTCAGAGTTTTGATTATCTAAGGCAGGGGTGTCAAACTCAAGGCCCGGGGGCCAAATCCGGCCCGTGACTTCACTTCCTGTGGCCCCA